TTACCCTGTCCGTTTTGAAAACATAGTACCAGAAAAACAGGGGCCCAATTCCAAGCAGAGCTCCTAAGAGTGAGTTCTTGGGAGTGGGTCTGAAATTGGGATAGATATTTGCTGATCTTGCGTATGTCCAACGAATTAAGGCAGGATCTTCCTGAAATTATAATAGAAAGTTACAGAACTTGAGGGCCGTGTCGAGAAACAAATTCATCAGGACTTTTGGGAAGGAACACCAGAGATGTCCTTTGTTCTCTCCACAGTTAAGGGTTAACCCTAAATATTCATCAACAGCCTCAGAGAAGTTCTATCATTTCTAGTATTTTCTGAATAACTGCTGTTTCTGTTCAAATCCTACCCAGAATTTTTTTTTTTTTTTTTTTTTTTTTTTTGACAGGCAGAGTGGACAGAGAGAGAGACAGAGAGAGAGGTCTTCCTTTGCCTTTGGTTCACCCTCCAATGGCCGCCACGGCCGGCGCACCGCGCTGATCCGATGGCAGGAGCCAGGAGCCAGGTGCTTTTCCTGGTCTCCCATGGGGTGCAGGGCCCAAGCACCTGGGCCATCCTCCACTGCACTCCCTGGCCATAGCAGAGAGCTGGCCTGGAAGAGGGGCAACCGGGGTAGAATCCGGCGCCCCGACCGGGACTAGAACCCGGTGTGCCGGCGCCGCAAGGTGGAGGATTAGCCTAGTGAGCCGCGGCGCCGGCTTCTTCACTGACTTTTGATAAGCCTGTCCATCAGATCCACTCAGCACTCCTGGTGAAGACAAGCAGATCTCCTATGCTCTAGGAAGCTTTGTATTCTGTTTCCAGGACTTTTTCTAATGTTCTCCCTACACTGCTCTTTAATGGTTACAAATATGCTGTAAGAAGGTAAAAAGAAGGCATAGGTTAACTCTGCACTAAGGAAGTTTTTTAAGCTGACTTGGCTGATATTTTTTAAGCAAGACAGTACATTTGGGGGCCAGTGTTGTGGCACAGGGAGTTACACACTGCCTACATTGCTGGCCTCCGACATCTGGAGCACCAGTTTGAATCCCAGCTGCTCCGCTTCTGATCCAGCTCCCTGCTAATGAGTCTGGAAAGCAGCAGAAGATGGTCCAGGTCCTTGGGCCCCTGCCACCCATGTGAGAGACCTAGATGGAGTTCCTGGTTCCTGGCTTCAGCCGGATCCTACTCTGGCCGTTGTAGCCATTTGGGGAGTGAACCAGCAAATACAAGATCATTCTTTCTCTGTCTCTTCCTCTCTCTATGTCACTCTGTCCTTCAAGTAAATGTTTTTAAAAATTGGTACATTTTACACCGTTAAAACGTTCTGGAAAGGTCAAAGTTGTTGTTAAAGAAAATCAGATCTTAGTTAAGAAAACGCAATTGTATATTTTAATATATTTATACTAGAGTAACTACCTAAGAATAGCAAATCCACCCCCAAACACATAATTAAAGTTAATTAGCTAAATCCTCAAATGGTTCACAAAATTATTCTCTCCAATTAACTGAGAGATAAAAATATGAAAGTAAAATCAGTGTTAAGACTTTAATAAATGACGTGAACAGTCAAGGTGCTAACAGACACCAATAAGTCACGCTTGGTAAGATGAAAATAATTTAACTGGGTCTACGATAGTCACATTTCAAGCCAAACTGAAGTACAGCAATTCGCCCTTGACCATCAGCTGGAGCCCAGAGGTAAATACACCTTTTTTGGTGGAAATGCTCCCCTTCCGTTCAGTCAGATGAAAGCGTGTGGGCCTTCACTGCTGGACACCAGTGCGGATACTGCTGCTTTGAAAGACTACTAACGTTATCCTATCACAGTAAAACGAAAGCAAGCACCATGGTGTTTTGCAGCCTTGTTTTTATTATGCCTGTACTGCAGACAAAACAGGAAAGAGGGTAAAGACACAAGAGGCAGGTTCAAGGGGATGCCCGAGTTCCGTATCTGGAAACATAGCTACATTTATTCTTTTATCTGTCCCTTCTGCTATGATATATTTCAATGACTGTCCAATGGCAGACTTCTCAGTCTGCCCGTCACCTGCCAGATCTGTTTTTCAAAAACCAGACATTTCATTCTGCAAATTACCAAGAGACCCATGACCAAGGGTCATCGAGCCCAGCACTCTAATTGAGAGAGAGGCTGCAGAAGACCCGCACGACACCACCACAGCCAGTGGCTGGCAGAACTGGACATGATGGGACTTTCCTTGACATTTCTTCACCTGACTTAGCTTCCCTCTTAACTCTCCGGCCATTCACTCTTGGTTTCTTCTTTTCTCTACAACAGTGAACTGCAGGTCTTGCTCACCTTTCCTATCTACATTCAGTCCCTAGACAGTGCTATCTGGTCATATGACTTCAACTATCTACCTACAGCTCACAACTCCAAAATTACACTTCTCGTCCTCGACCTCTTCCTGAACTCCAGATCTAACATCCAGTCACCTGCTAATACTGACGTACTAACAGTCACCTCAAATGTCACAAATCCCAAACTGATTTCCCAGTACCCCACCCCACCTCCATACCTGCCCCACTCACGTTCTTCTGCACCTTGGTGAAAGGCGACGTCATTCTTTCAACTGCTCAGGTCAAAAACCTCGAAGTCACCCAGAACCCCTCTTTCTCTCACAAACCACCTCTCATCTGCCAGCAAATCTGGTTGGCTCTACTTTAGTGCACACCCAAAACTGACCACGTCTCACCACCTCCAGTACCACCACCTGGTTGCCACCATCAAATTAGAAATGATTGCCTCCTAGTGGGTCTCCCCACCCCTGCCTTTGCTTCCCCATAGCCATTCTCAACTAAGCAGCAGGAGAGACTGTTGAAATCCAAGTGCAGATTATGTGAGTTCCTACTTCGTGAAAGTCCTAACCATGACCTGGAAGGCCTGCCGTGATCTAGTCTCAGGCACCTCTATGACCTCATCTCTGCCCACACCTTCTCCATATTAGCTACAGTGCTCTCTTCAGTATGTTTTTTAATTACCCAGCATCCTCCTGCCCAAAGGGCCTTTGCACGTGCCGTTGCTTCTGAGTAGAATTCTACCTTCCTAGAGTAAGTGGCTAGCTCCCTCACCTTACTCCTCTCAGCTCCTTGGTCAGGTGTCACCTCCCCTGGGCCTATCTACAATCACATCCGCTCACCCTCCCTGCTACACACACACACACGGAGATCTGCCAGTCACCTGCCAGATCTGTTTTCCCCTCTTATTTTTTCATCTCACTTATCACTTACATGTTAAATGACAGACTGTTACCACTTGTCTCCTCAGCTGGAAAGGAAGCCCCATGAGGACAGGGAATTTGTTCTCCATCGTGACCTCAGCATAAAAGGTTCTTAGCAATGGCTGCACTAACTAATCAATGAAACACATATTGATTAATAACTGACTACATCATATATTCATTTAATTAACAGAACCACCAAAGAGGCGAGTATTATTACTCCTATTTTCTATATATTAGAACAACTGAAACTGCCCTGGGTCACGGTACCAGAAAATACATCTGGGGTTTAAATCTCAGGTCCGTGTGATCAGGGCCTTACTCTACTTTTTTACTTTTTTCTTATTTTCTAGATTTTACCATCGAGCACATCAACCCCAACAATGTGGGCACATATATATTATAAATGTGTCTGTGTGTATCTTCCCAAGTAAACAGGTTCTGGCTGGAGACAGTACAGCCAACCAGTGAAAAGCAGATGCTGTAGGTTCCACAGAGAGGAGCTCAAATTCTGCTCTATCACTCGCTAAGGGGATAGCTGCGAGTCCCCTTCCTATGCCGGCTTCTCATCCGTAAGACTGGGATGATAACGCAGCTGAATTCTCTGGAGAGTGGTGATATTTGGGGAAAATAATGCTCAGATTATTAACAGTGCAGCACTGTTCCTGGAACACTGTAACTTTCCTTCAATCCTCACACTTCCGACAATTCCTAGAGAATCCCAATGCAAGTGCTGGGAAGTCTTTTTTAGAAAACATATATGGTGTATTCAGACAGCTCTGTACAGAAAACTACCTAAAAGCGCATTTCTTAAAGAATACAAGCTACCAGTTTCCAGGGTCTATGTCTGGGGCTTTGAATGTAACATTATCTCATTTCACCCCACAATTCCACGAAGAATGCACATCACTTCCATACTGGTATCAGCACACTACGATTTACAGGGGTCAGGTAAAGTGCCCAAAGCTGTACAGTCTGCCAAAATGTGGTGCCTTGGGGTCTGACTCCAAAGCCTAAAGCTTCAAAAAACTGCAGGCTCATTAAAAGACACGGGCTGAAGCATCACTGTATCACCACCAGGAGAGAGCAGGAGTCCTCCCAACTCTGAACTGAAAAGGCTTTTTCAACGCTAAAGATAAACAGATAGAAGCACTGAGTGAACACGTGTACAGCCAGGCCCTGTGCTGGGCCAATCGCGTGCCTTATTTCTGCAGCCTTAGGAAGTCCTATACAACGCTCGTTTTCCAGACAGGAAAATCGAGTCTTAGTAGGGTTGAATAACTTCTTCAAGGTCACCCAGGGGAATGAAGGGATCAAGCCAGGAATCAAACCTGCCCCATTTGCACTGTAGCCAAGGTCAAAGGGCTAGTGCGCTGGCCGCCGTCGGGGCCAGGAAGCGGGCCGGCGTCTGGGATGTTGCTGGGGGACGGTGGCCGCCCCCGGGCTGGTCCCCCCAGCCAGTCCGGGATCCGGGCCCCCGCGATTCCCGCCCGGCAGGCCCCCCACTCACAATGAGCCCTCGGCGGCTGGGGTCGTTGTACTGAAGCAGGTACTCCCGTTTAAGCCGGGATCTTATAGCCAACCGCTCGGCTTGCGCCTGCCGGGTTTCCGGAGAAATGTCGTATTCGGCTGGATCGAGAGTACTCGGAAGAGTGGCCAGGCGCGACGGCTTATACTTTGGGAACGACATCTTGGCGACCGGAGCACAACTGCGCCTGCGCAGCTCTGGGCCCCGCCCCCCCTTCCCTTTGACCTTCAGCCGCAGGAAGTGCGCCTGCGCGTTAGCGGGCGGTGGAGAATGGCATTTAATCTGGCTGGGTTTCTTTCCCCGACCTTCCTGGACACTTCAGTTCGCGACACCTGATTTGCGCGTGCGCAGTCGGCCTTCCTCGCCTCCACCCACCCTCCGAACTGTCACTGCTGCTGCTTCCTAGCAGCCTTGGCGCTACCGATGGAACCAGTGCTGCCTATGTGAAGTTGAGCTGTGTGGGACTGGTGATGGAGTCAGAAGTCCTGCTTTCCGGGGTGGGTTCATCCAAGCTATGTGACCTTAGGCAGTCACTTAAAATCATTCTGTAAGGCTAACAAATTTGTTGTGAGGCTCAAGCTAATGAATAGGCACCAAAATGCTGTGTGAAGCGTAATTCTCTATCCAAGAAAAAGAGAATTTGCTTTTCCTTGCGTTACCATATTAGGTCCGTACAACCTAAGTCAACAATGAACATTTTTCATAGGCGTGAAATGTTTAATAATAGAATGATGTTATAATAAAAGTGTTGCCTGACTGTAGCAGGTGAGGGAGAAAAATGAGCTATTGAATAAAGCTCGTAAAGAAACAACACCTGAGTTAAAATGCTTACCCTTCTTACCTAACATGCTTACTGCTCTTCAGGCGCTAAGGATGGAAAACAGGTGCAGGTGTGTGAAACAGCAGTTACGTCACTGCTTGGGACAGGGACATCCCAAACCAGAGTGCCTGGGTTTGAGTCCTGCCTCCTCTACTTCTGATTCAGCTTCTGATCCCGTGCACCCTGGAAGGCAGCAGATGTTGGCTCAAGTGCTTGCGTACCTGCCATGCTTGTGAATTCTGGGCTCCTGGCTTCAGCCTGGTCCAGCCCCCAGCTATTTCAGGCATTTGGAAAGTGAGCCAGAGGATGAAAGATCTCTCTCTCTCTCTCTCTCTTTCTTTCTCTCTCTCTCTCTCTCTCTCTCTCTCTCTCTCTCCTCTGCCTTGCAAATGAAATTTTGCAAGAACGAAAACCATTGTTACAGATATGAAAATATAGGGGCATTGTAAAAGGTGAGTTGGAGAGAAAACCGAGGTAACAGAATTGATCCCTTCCCCATATGTACGGTCCTTCCTTCTTCCCTTCCACTACCACCAAGGGAAAAAAAAAAAACAAAAACAATTTCAAGTTACACAGCAGGGCCTTTGGGTAGCAATCAGATATTCCTCGGAAGAAACACCATTAGCAGTATTTCCATGACCCGGGCCAGGGAAGCCAGATGACAGGAGCCGCGGCTCTGCTGAAATGTCGGGACGTGGAGGTATGCTGAGAAGTGGTTGCTAGGCAGAGGAAAGACCTGGGAAGTGCTGGCACTTGACGTGATGAGGAGCAGCACTGCTGTCAAATTTATTCAACATTTTTAATGCTGTTTTAAAATATTTATTAAGCACCCACCGCGTGAAGCATACTGCACGCTAGTCAGTCAATCTTCTAGGCTCCGTGGGAGAAACCCGGAAGAAACAGAGGATGAGCTGTTTTGTCTTTCAGGAGCGGACAGAACAGAAAGAACAGAGGAAGTGTGCTGATATCTGATGGTAAAGTAGTTTAATGTCCAAATGAATCCGGAGCAAAATGGACTCATCAGCAGGCAGGCTGGGAGAATGCAGAAACCAGAAATTTGAGACAAATCACTGGAGCTCCATTTTCAAGCATATAAAGAATGGAAGTTCCAATTCACTCAGAGGTGTTTTGAAATATTAAGAAAACACAGCAGTGTGAAAAGCAGCAGCTGATTATAAATTCTAAAGACTCCATAAAGTTGCAAAAACCTTTTGTTTATAGGTTAGATACTAATCTAGGAAGAACATGTAGAAAGAATAAAAAAGACACTTTTTTTTTAAGATTTATTTATTTTACTTGAAAGTCAGAATTACACAGAGAAAGGAGAGGCAGAGAGAGAGAGAGGTCTTCCATCTGCTGGTTCACTCCCCAGTTGGCCACAACAGCTGGAGCTGTGCTGATCCGAAGCCAGGAGCCAGGAGCTTCTTCAGGGTCCCCCATGCAGGAGCGGGGGCCCAAGGACTTGGGGGCCATCTTCCACTGCTTTCCCAGGCCATAGCAGAGAGCTGAATGGGAAGTGGAGCAGCTGGGACTTGAACCAGCACCCATATGGGATGCTGGTACTACAGGCGGCAGCTTTACCCTCTACACCACAGTGTGGGCCCCAAAGAGACACATTTCTTTTAAGGTAAATATTTAGGTGAGTTAAAGTGATTCTTCTTATACTTGCCTGGTTGTCATAAGATTGCTGAGGATGGTTGTCAAATATATGGAGGTTTAAAACTCCTCATTTCTGTTCTACTCTTGGGGACTCAAAATGATATGACAGGGAAAACTAGAAGTCTTATGTTTTTTCCAGTTTCCTGGTGGGACCAGGGGGAAGTTTCTTAAAATAATGCATGTTTGACCTCTCTCTCTTTCTCTCTCTCTGTAACTCTGAATTTCAAATAAATAAGTAAATCTTTGGAAGTCAGAGTTACAGAGAGAAAGACGGAGAGACAGAGACAAAGAAAGAGATTTTCCTTTTACTGGTTTACTCCATAGATGGCCACAGTGGCCTGGTCTGGGCCAGGCCTGAGCCAGGAGCCAGGAGCTTCTTCCAGTTTTCCCAGGTGGGTGCAGGGTTCCAAGCACTTGGGCCATCTTCTGCTGCTTTCCCAGGTGCATTAGCAGGGAACTGGATCAGAAGTGGAGCAGCCGGGACTTGAACTGGTGCCCATATGGGATATTGGCACAGCAGGCAACAGCTTTACACACTACACCACAGCACCGGCCCCTTTACTTCTAATATTGTATATTTCTTGCTTGTTTTCTCCTTCATCAGTCCTGCTAGAGGATTGTCTAGCTTGTCTATGAAGACATGTAACCCTTTCTTAAAAACAAGTAGCAACTACCTCTAGAGCAGTTTTAGGTTCACAGCAAAATTAAGAAGGTGCAAAGATTTTCCATACACCACCTGCCCCAACACATATATAGTCTCGCCTTATCAAAAATCCTCCACCAGAAAGGTACATTTGCTACAACTGGTGAGTCTACATCCACATACCATTATCACCCATAGTTCACTTTAGGGGTCACTCTTATACATTCTGTGTGTTTGGACAGGTGTTTAATGATACATGTATATTCGTCATTATTATAGCGTGTAGTATGTTTTCACTCCCCTACACATCCTCCGTGATTTGCCTATTCCACCTTCTTCCCCACTCCCCACCCCCAGCTGCCAGTTCCCTCCCAGCTTCTGGTAACCACTGATCTCTTCACTGTCTCGCTAGCGTTCCCTTTCCCAGAATGTCAGTAGTTGGAATCATACAGTATTCAGTCGTTTCAGATTGTCTTCTTTCACTTAGTAATGGTACTGAAGTTTCCTCCTTGTCTTTTCACGGCACGATGGTTCATTTCTTTTTCGTGTTGAATAGTATTTCATTGCCTGGATATATCACAGTTTATTTATCCAGTCACCCAAAGAGAGACATCTTGGTTGCATCCAAGTTTTGGCAGTTATAAATAAACATGCACACACGGATTTTTGTGTGGACATAAACCTTCAGTTCCTCTGGGTAAATACCAAGGATCTCAACTGCTGGGCATTCTAGTAAGGGCATGTTTAGTTTCATAGAAAACTGCCAAACTGTCTTCCAAAGTGCCTATACCATTGTGGATTCCTACTGTTACCAAAAGCTCTGTCCCCGTTCCAGTGCCGAATCAACTAACAAGGACAAGGTTTGAGGGTCAAGGAAGGAGAAAGTTTCACCCATCAGTAGATGAGGAATCAGAAGATTCACGTCTCAAGAACTACCAGCCTACTTGGTGAGGACAGTCTGGGGTTTGTAAGGCAAGAGGAACAGCAAGTGTTCAGTTGGCTGCAATGCCAGTCAGCCTGGTGCTCGACTTCCCACAGATCGATGCTTAGTCCTTGAGAAGGCCTGCGAGTGAGGAGATTAATCCTGTCTCAACTGGGTGGCTCTGCTCTGGCTGCCTGTTAAGAGAGGTCAAGATAGGATTAAAGCATTCTTAGAGCATGGCAAAGAAAAAAAAAACTACAGGCTATGTGCTTCAGGTACAGGAAGGAGGGAGATTGAAAATAAAATTTAAAAAAAAAAAAAGAAGAAAGCTAACGATTTAGCCTTGCAGCAAAACACAACATAGTGCTTTGTAAAAGCAGCATGAAAAACATCATTTGGCTAGAAGTAGTGACAGTGAAGCTGTACACTGGGGACTTGCCCGTTTGCATTTAATTATGGCAAGAACCAACTCCTGCAACTTTTATGTCATCTTATACCTGGTTACACTATCAACAATAAGTGAGCATTCCTACTGCTCCATGTTCTTGCCAGTGTTTGGTGGTGTCAGTATGCCGGGTTTTGACAATTCCAACAGATGAGTAGGGGTAGCTCATTGTTATTTTAATTTGCATTTCCCTGTTGACCTCTGACATGGAGCATCTTTCATGTGCTTATTTGACATCTGTGTATCTTCTTTGGTGAGCTATTTGTTAACATCTTTGGCTCATTTAGTAATAGGGTTGCTTGTTTTCTTATTGTTGAGTTTTATGCATTCTTTGTATATTTTATGAGTCCTTTCTCAGATGTGCCTTTTGTAAATATTTTCTCCTCATTTTGGTTTGTCTTATTCTCCAGATATTGTCTTTTACAGAGCAGAAGTTTTTAATTTTAATGAAATACAGCTAATCAATGATTTTTTCATGGATCATGTCTTTGTTGTTGTATATAAAAAGGCATCATCATCCCCAAGGTCATTTCTGTTTCCCCCTATTTCTCTTCCAGCACTTGAATAATTATGGGGGGGGGGGGTAATTTTTTTATTTATTCTCATTTTATTTGAAGGCCGGGAGAGAAAGATCTTCCATCTGCTGATTCAGTCCCCAAATGCCCACAACAGCCAGGGCTGGACCAGGGCAAAGTGAGGAGCCAGGAAATCCTTCTGGGTCTCCCACATAACTGACAGGGACCCAGTGCTTGAGCCATTATCTGCTGCCCTCAGGTTGCAGATGGATCCAGGAAGTTGGATCGGAAACAAAGGAGCTGGGCTCGAACCCAGGCACTCTGATAGGGGATGCAAACACCTCAAGGGACATCTTAACCACTGTGCTAAATGCCCCCCCCCCCATTTTGTGTTTTAAATTTAGATCTATGATTCATTTTGAGTTCATTTTTGTGGAAGGTGGAAGGTCTATATTTAGATTTATGTCTTTGTGTGTGGAAGTCCAGTTGTTTC